TCTCTCTCTCTCTCTCTCAAAATAAATAAACTTAAAAAAAACAATATTGTAACTTTGTATGGTGACAGATGGTGACTGCACTTACCATGGTAAGCATCGAGTAACGTGTAGAGTTGTGAAATCACTATGTTGTACACTTGAAACTAATATAACAGCATATGTCAACTATACTTCAATTTTTAAAAACAGGGGTGTCTTGGTGGCTCAGTCCTGAGTGTCTGACTGTTGATTTTGGCTCAGGTCATGATCTCACAGTAAGTTTGAGCCCCACGTCAGGCTCTGCACTGACAGTCAGATCCTGCTTGGGATTCTCTATCCCTCTCCCTCTGCCCCTCTCCCCTGCTCATGCATGTGCGCTCTCTCGCTCTCTCTCTCTCTGTCTCTCTCACTCTCTCTCTAATAAAAAATATTAAAAATTTTTTTTAAAGAATCCAAAGAAGGGGCACCTGGGTGGTTCTGGCTCATTCAGTTGAGCGTTCCACTCTTGATTTAAGCTCAGGTCATGATCCCAGGGTCATGGGATTGAGCCCCATGTTGGGCTCCAAACCAGGTATGGAACCTGCTTAAGATTCTCTCCCTCCATCTCTCTGCCCCTCCCCTGCTCTCTCTCTCTCTCTCTCTCAAAATAAATAAACATTTAAAAAAAGAATCCAAAGAAAACCAGTGTGACATTAAAATTAATCTGAATTAATTTAAAGAGATAAGATAGGCAGAGACTAAATTGTGCAAGGACTTCTAGATGAAGTATGTATTTTATTCTAAGTATAGTTGGAACCATTGGAGGATAATAAGCAGGGGAGGGCTAACTGGCTCACATTTAAGAAGCTGACATTGACTGCTATATAGAGATGGATCAGAGAGGGGTAAATGTGAAAAAAGAAGATCTATTAGCAGACTAATAGTCTCCAAATACTAATAATTTTTTATTTTGTAAATAAATTTAGTTTTGTTTTTATATAAAATGGAAGATTTCCCTCATCAATCTCCCATATGAAGGATTTTATAAGCCAAAATAAAGATGCTTCCTGCATTCAAATCAGTTTATGTGTAGCATTACAATGGTGTAATGCTTCTACACATACATTAGGACAAGTGGCATCATACATTAAAAGGAGATAAGAGGGGGCACCTGAGTGGCTCAGTGGGTTGAGTGTCTGACTCTTGATTTTGGCTCAGGTCATGATCTCACCATTTGAGAGATCTCTCTCTCTCTCTCTCTCTCTCTCTCTCTCTCGCTCAAAATAAATAAATAAATATTTTAAAAGGAAGAAGAACAAAAGAAAAAGGGGCCAGTGGAACATGGAGGATCTAGTGAAGTTGGTAATTCTTCATTTTTTAAATTTTATTAATTAATTTTAAATTAAAAGGTGATATATGATTACATTCTTTTCTATAAAAATTAGCCTGCTGGGGCGCCTGGGTGGCTCAGTTGGTTGAGCGTCCGACTTCGGCTCAGGTCATGATCTCGCTGTCGTGAGTTCGAGCCCTGCGTCGGGCTCTGTGCTGACAGCTCGGAGCCTGGAGCCTGCTTCGGATTCTGTGTCTCCCTCTCTCTCTGACCCTCCTCCATTCATGCTAAATGTCTCTCTCTGTCTCAAAAATAAATAAACATTAAAAAAAAAATTAAAAAAAATTAGCCTGCTAAAGTTCCTTATATGACCACCTTGCATCCCAATCCTTTCCACCC